TTTTTATGGTTAAAATACACAAATACGGATTTAACATGGCCGACTAAAAATGTCAAAATGCTTCGGATTTGAAAAAAACGTATCTTAATATTTTTGGATCGCTGATTACGAATATAAACTCAAAAGTTAAAAATTCAAAATACCGGATTTAATATGGTCGATTAAAAATGTAAAACTGCTTAGGATCTAGAAAAAAAATATTTTTATTAATGCAATATAAATTATTGTTGTGATTTAAGGTTAATTTTTATATTACTTAACTAGTAATATTAATTAGTTAATTCTATAGAAAATTATTAATTACTAGTTTACATGAAAAATAACATTCATATCAACACAAAAGAAATTATAAATGTTACGTATGAATTTCGTAACTTCTTATTAATAAATTATTAACATTATTAATAATTCATTAATACAATACCTGAAAAAGAGAGAATATCCTGAAGCAACCGTTCTTGAAATAAGGGGAAGTCAGCATTCCACTTGAAAATTTAGATGTAAGTTGTATGAAAAGGACATTCTTCACAAAAGGAAGAATAGATGATTTCCAAATATTATTCGAAAGTCAAAGCCTTGAATACTTGGATGAGTTCTTCTTGACGTAGAAACTTTTAATACTTGACAAAGAGATTCTTCTAAGTTCAACTTGAGTATAAAATTGGGGAGAGTACTTCTGCAAGATTCTGTACTGATGTTACGGGTTTCGAGACAATTGTAGTAGACAAATGTAGTCCTTTTATACTGAATTTTCGTAAGAAAATAGACATAATTTTATTGTCCTGTGTTGCTTTTCCACCCTAATATTTGAAGCCAAAAGGTGAGACCTTCTCTCTCAGTTGAACGTTAAAAGAGGGGTTTGTACGGTTCGTCTGATTTTAGCACATAGGGAAAATTAGAAAGAGAGCATTTTTGTTTCGTAATCGTAGCGTTTATGCTCTTTTATTGTAATAAAAGGTTTCTCGCTTCTATTTGTATATTTTTAGAAATACAGTATATGAACGTAGGAGGATACAAAACGCAGGGGTGTTTTATATATAAAAGAAAAGATGTTTAGTTGCGCAACAAAAGAGCGGAAGTTTTACATTTAAGAGACAACTGTTTATATCCGTAACAAAAGCACGAGTGTTTGATGCAGAAAAACGCATCTCGGTATTGATTAAAGAAAATAATTCTTATAATATGAATATTAAAGTTACGATGACGTGACATAAACAAGAGTTTTCCATATTTAAAATATGAGTAAATTTGGAAACATTTTCTTCTCCCCATAAGAATAACATTGTGTCGTCTGTTTGTTTTCCCTCTAGCTATCTGGCAACCCTGCTGACAATTTAAAAAATTCTGGGAGAGTGAAACCTGCTTTAAGTATAGATATGTGTTTATGCAGGTAAATTGTTTTTAAATAAATATTACGAGAAATTTCTGTTGTTTCTCACGTTTAATTGATTAAAAAAGTACTTCTGAAAGGCAACATTGCACCTGAATTATGTAAATAATAATTCGTCAAATTACGAGTAAGTAACCATCATCCATTTTGAATATCAATTGATTTCGTTTATCAGTATCAAACTTTGATACCGATTATATGGATCTTTTCTCAAAATGATCCACTTAAATGGGATCAAATTGATACCACTTATAGGTGTCAAAACGTTGCATAATTGATCTAATTTTTTGGTATCATTTACATACCTTCAGAAAAACTGTGAACAGTTGGCCCAACGCTGAGTTGGGACAACGGTTGGCATAACTCTGCATGCCATAGTTGGCTAGTAAAGTTGGCCCAATTATGGTTGTTTGAAAATAGTAGAGTTTGACAAACTTCGGCACGCGTAGTTTGGTCCCCCAGAGTTGGCCCAACTTTGAGCCAACCAACAAACTCTGGCAGCCAACCTTAATTCGCACCTGGGACAATATCAACTAAGCGCGTTCTTTGTGCAGGGGCGGCTCAACTTTGCACCTTACTAGATCTGACATAAGAAATTTTTACGCCCTGAAGTAAGAAAAAAAAATTAATATATACATTTTTAAATTTCTATACTTACGTTAGTTTTTTAAAAATTATAATACTAAATTATAGGGTCAGTTGGGGTAAATGGAGACAAGAATTGTTGGAGCTTCATTTACAGTTTTAAAATTAAGTTCAACGTCAATATTTTTAGCCTCAGATCACCTGCAAGAGGTTTTAAGTATTGCCAAGCTTTTATCTTGACAATTGGCAGCAAGATAAAAAAAGTTATCGCTCAATGCATAAAAACTTGAAAATCAAAGTCAAACTTTTTTTAGTATTTTGTCGAGCATTTCAAAGAAAACAGATTTAAAAATCAATTCGATTAATTATGACAAGCTGTCCCCATTTACCTTAAGTTTTCAAATTTTTGGGGTAAATGGGGACAGCTTGTCATTATTAACTAATTTAACAAAAATCAAAAATTTAAATGGATTTCTGTGATTGGATTCATAAGAAATAAGAAAAAAATTTGGTATGATTTTTAAGTCTGTTTTTTTCAAATGCGAGACAAAATACTGAAATAAAGAAAAAATAAAAAAATTTCAATTCGTACAACTATTATATATCTACCACAAATTTTTCTCGAACTTTTTCATCCCTTAATACAGTAATATACTCAAGGAAACTTTTTTCTTAAAACTTTCTTAGAAACTATGCTGTCCCCATTTACCACGAATTTTATGAAATTTTCTAAATTTTGGGGTAAACGGGGACAGTCAGTTTTATGCGTTTAAAGCTTATCTAAATTTTTTTCTGTTGCATAAAATTAATCCTGGGAATGTAAATAACAACTAAAAAAATAAATCCGTAAATATTACCTTTTAAAGGAACAAATTTACGTAATTTGTATGTATTTTTTTAATTAAGGGTTGTTTAAATAATGCTCTGTAAAAATTAATTAAAACAAGTTTTAATCGTTTATCTTGACTAATAATAGGGGAGGATGAAGTAAGGATAGTTAGATAAGACATTTTTGGATCTAGCAGCTAAAATTCAACAGGCATCGGAAAAACAATAGTATCCCAGGTGCGAATTTTGGTCGGCCGCCAGAGATGGTTGGTCGGCCCAACTAGGGCTGCACGAGAGTTGGCCGCCCTAGTTGGGCAAACCATGGTAAATATTGTCACCCAAAGGTGGCCCAACTATGGTTCCCATAGTTGTTCCGACTGTGGAGGATAATGGTCGGCATGACTTTGTCAGTCACAGTTGGTCCACCTCTGCTGAAGATGGTTGGACCAATTACGGTAGTCGATTAGATCGATGGTCGGTATATTGAGAATTGCAGAATTTCTTCTTAAAAGAAACTTATAAAAAGTTAAAAGAAAATTATAAAATGATTAATCGAAATCGAGTTATGAGAGGATACAGAAATACAGATTTCTAGCTAAATGTGAAAAGAAGAGAAACAGTGAAGTTAGCGAAGATTTATCAAAGCATCACGAAGATAAAACTTTATTGTCTTTTTACGAAACGTTCACTAATTGCAAGTATGTACTTATAAATATTTTATTTTATAACGCAATATATGAAGGTCGAATGGAGGTGTTCATTTCTGATTCATTTAATATTGATGAAGATTTAATGAAAAATAAATCGGAGACATTTTCTGGATGTTTAACGGATTATTTTCAAAATGCAACAGGAAATGATTATTATTATATTAATTTATGATAATTAAAATTTTAATTCTTATTTAAAATTTCTAAAAATACAGCCGGCATAGTCCCCCATAGTCAGGCCAACTGTGGCTGCCATAGTTGGGCCAACCATCGGGCACGACGGATGGCAGCCCTAGTTGGACCAACCTAAAAGCCATAGTTGGGCCAACTATGGGGGACAATGGTCGGCATGATTTAAGCAGCCACAGTTGGGCCAACCAAGTCGACCCTAGGTCGGTTGACGTTATCAATTCGCTAGTTGACCCGTCCTCTGGCTGCCCAAGGTGGGCCGACTGAGCACATAGTTGGCCCAACTTGGGGCCGACCGTCAACTCGCACCTCGGATCGTTCGAAAGCCTGTTTATTTAGCTACAATTTTGTAATAGATTATTTTGTTGTGTATTGCAATAATCAAAAACAGACATTAAATTTGGGGTTTTTTAAATTTCATTGGATAAAAGCACCTCAAAACACTTCAAAGCACTACCAAAAAAATTTTTTGGACATAAATAAATATTTAAAACAGTTAATATCTGAAACAGTGTTTTAAACAGAACTGAGACGTTTTAGAAAAAACATGATTTTCACAAATAATCACGTAGCTTCCACAAATAGTATCACATCAAGATCAAATATTTCTTGACGTCTTTTGATGTTAAAACAAGTATATATGATGAATGGTGCCCTTTTTGAACAAGCCGTGTAGGCAATAGAGCCACTAACTATCATTGCCCTTAACTATCCTTGCCTCATCCTCCCCTTTTATACATTTCACTCAATGTCATCAATTTCTTAATTAGGAACTGAAATCATTAAAATTGTTTATAAAAATTGTTTTAACAATTAAAAATAATTAGTTTATAATAACTATTGAACTGGTAATTTCTTTTGTATCTCAAATACAACAAAACGTAAAGATTTCATGGAATAAGCAAGTCAATTTTCGACCAATCATCTTCAAGTATATGTTTATAAAATTGAATATACTCATCCAGAACACGCTTATTTTTTAATTTCTTTATAAAAAAAATTTTTTTTTATAGGAAATGAAAAGTTTCAAAATTGTAAAAATTATTTTCAAAAAGTTTGGAATTTCATCAGTAATTTAAAAAAAAGAAAAACGAATTTCGTCAATTTTTATCAAAGTTGTGCAATTGTTTATAAAAAAAACAAATGGATATTTTTCAATAAAATTTAGGGTATGTTTTTAACTATATTATAACTATATTTTTGTGAAGTTTCGATAAAAAATTCCGACCTTTGGCAAATCGGGGGTCACTTCAGGAATTCTCACCCCTGTGTAATTTTATACTTCATTAAAATCATACCTGTTCCATCCTACCATAGGTAATATAGCCCAAAGTAGTCCAAAAAGCCATATGATGACAATTTGAATCAATGCTCTGGATACTGTAAGTGGTGTGCCTGCCATGCCCTTTAAATTAATATCATTAAAAATTGTATTGTTTCAAAATACTGGTTTCCAAAAAGTGACCGAGTAGCTAAAAGAAGATAAATAAGGGATTTTAAAATAATTGATTTTGATGTATTAAATGTAAATAAGATTTTAAATTTTAATCACTCACAGTATTTTCTAATTTACAATTTTTTGAGGCATCTGAAAAATATGTGACGCACGGCGAGAGTCGCACGCGTGACGTTGAAATGCATATTCAGTGCATTTAATTTATTTTTAAAAAATTTATTTAATTTTTAAATTGTAGTATTCAAAAATCTATTTAATTGATAAAAATGCGTAAATATAAAATAATAGGTACTTTTTATTTTACACTATTATTATTTTATTTTTCACTATTATAAAAGTTTATGTATGCATACAAATTTTAACTTACCTATAAAACATACAACTATAAATGAATCATATAATATCTTTCCAATATTTATAGAATCAATATAGCTTCTGACATCGAACAATATATCAAATTTGTACACGGAATTTGTCTAAAGGCGCTTGTATACCTCACCCATCCCGAGTATACTTGCGTCGTGTATCATTGGAGTAAAAGAGACGGAAATATCTTTTTGTCTCTTTTACTCCAATGGTACACGACAGAAGTATACTCGGGATCGGTGAGGTATACAAGCGCCTTAAAATAATCGGAAAGATGGAAAACAATAACATGCGAGACTTGCCACCGAGACTTGTCTGATGGTGGTGCTACCGAGCTACGCGTAGCTTCTACGCAATATACACGACAAGACGCAAAAAATTGAAATATTTTTCATATCTTATTCACTTTAATAATAATAATAAATTTCAATAAAAGTGATATATTTTATAAAAAAATAAAATTATCGTAATTCTGACGTTACTAAATGAAAGTTGACATAATTCCGCATCCAACGAGCCCTAAATGAAGTACTTTGGATTAGTGGATTGTTAATAAACAATTGGCTAACATTGCAATTGTTTATAAAAAATCCGCTTATCCAAAATAGTTCATATAGGACTCGTTGGAAGCAGAATTACGTCAGCTTTCAATTGGTAGCTTCAAAATTGCAATAACTTTATTCATTTGTGAAATATTTCATTTTTTATTAACATTAATTAATTCATTAATTAATATGAGGCTGGCTACACCGAGAGCCAATCAGGAGGGTTAAATTTAATCCTCTGGCGTATTAAACAAGTGGGCCAAATTTTGCGTCTGCGCAGAATGTTTGTGTACATTCGCGACCATGGTTGCGATAGCGACAGGTTAGAAAAGGCGATCACGTGGTCGCCAAAGCCAGCGAACTTTTCAAACCTGTCTTATTGCAACCATGGTCGCAGATGTACACAAACATTCTGCGCAGACGCAAAATTTAGCCCACTTGTTTAGTACGTCAGAGGATTAAATTTAACCCTCCTGATTGGCTCTTGGTGTAGTCAGCCTTTATATCTCGGTTCTTAATCTTATCGATTTGATCAATCATGATTTCCGGTCACGTATTGAATTTTTAAAATATAAAATAAATAAGTAATAAAAAGTAAATAAGAAGAAAGAAATAATTTATAAGTTATATAAATGAATAAAAATAAATAAATTAATTATAATTTCTTCAAGAATTTGTTTGAAAAAAAAGAATTTTTTCAATAAAATTAAAATACATAATGTTATTATGCTACAATTAAACTACAAAAAAAATATTTAGAAAATTTTTTTTTTCAATTGCCTGTTTAACAGGTGATTTAGCGGAGTGCTGCACAAATCGTTGGTCGTGCGGTGGGCCAGATGACTCAGTATAGATTTGAACTAAACTAAAAAACCCAAAAAGAATTAGTTATTAATATTTGCAATTTCTGGACAACTTTAAGTAATGGAATTTTAATCGAAAATACGTATTTCTTCATTCAAATCATAGAGATATAAGAATAGAGTGCGCGAGTTGGTTAGTTTCCCATAAGAGACGGCGACAGTTGTTTTAGACGGAGACAGCGGCAATGTAGGCCTACTCTCTTACCTTTTCTAATGACGCATGCGCGATTATCCGAGTCTTTTAAATTCAAAAAGCTTATTTGTAGGTTATCAATTTATTTCATTTTTTCTATTGAAACTTACAGTTTCACTTTTTTTTGCTAATTTAAAATTAAATATCCTTTTAATTGAATAAATAGTATTTAAATATTAATATTGCTAAATCAAGCTTTTAAATATCGTTGAATTAAATGAATTTAAATTTATTATTAATTTAAAAATAGGAATATTGTTTTGTACATTGTAATATTTTTTTAAAGTACAGTGAATGAAGAAGGAAAGGAAAGAAATGATTTATTTTTGTAAGGAAAGCTTTGTATTAGAAAAAACAATTTAATATAAAACATTTACATTTGTAGCAAATATAAATCTGTAATAAAATTTAACGGACAACTTTGGTTTTCAACAATTGCATTTGTTGCATAGTTTAATATTTAAAATTAAATATCAGTCAAATTTCTTATCAAATAATTAAAGTATTATTTTACTGTCCACTGAAAATTGTGGTTTTGTTGTTTTGCATTCGAACCCTTTGTTGCTTATCATTGCAGATGGTACCCTCGTGTTTTAATCGCAAATCAACATATGTTTGTATTATTAGAAGAATGAGTTGATGCCGATGATCCATTAAAGGTTCTTGTTGAAAACAATGGTCTTTGTCGTCCAAAATCGAACTTGGTAATGTTTTTAGAGTTTCAGTTATAATCTTAAAATTTATTCGTTTGTCGAATAAATTTTTTTGACATCGCACAGTTTGTTCAACTCTTTTACAAATCAAATATACGTCTTCTGAAGCAAAAATCAGACCACCTCGATTTTTTAATTTTGTCAATTTTGACTTTACTTTATTTTGGTCTAAAAGATCACAACAGGAATCACAATGGATTTTCGATTTTACAATTCGAACTACGGCTCCAGCAATGTATTTAATTACTTCTTCTGCGTATTCCGAGCATTCATTTAGATGATCAACAAAATCATTTTGGAAATCTTTACTGGGAAAGAAATCTGCGACTTTGATACTTTGTTTTTCAGTCATTCCAGATTTTCCGGTAGTGCTTAGCTGTGAATCATCTATATTTTCAATTGAATTTGCTTCAACATTTTCAGCATCAGAAATTAAAATTGTCGCATCTAAAGGAGAGCAGTTGGCGTGTGCAGAAATGGCAATGCTAGAATTATTTAATAAAATCTTTTTATATGCCGATAAATACTGCGTGGTTGTTGGATTGTTGTTAAATCCATTCATTCTTCTAATAGTCGAAAAAAACATTTCCACGTGATCCTGAGAAAGTTTGTAGCTTAAAAAGTAGTTAACAATTTTTCTTTCGATCAAGTATTTGGATAAACTATACAGGTTTTGCAGACAAATAATAAAACCAACAAAACCTGTATTTACAGAATCTGTTTCAACAACGGATTTTCGTGTATAAATTAACTTACTGTAATTATTATTATTATTATCACAGTTTTCTTTCTTTCGTCTTGCGCGAACATTGATTTCTAAATTTTCAATATAATTTACATACACATCTACTTTTTCTTTTAATTGCCCTAAAGAATCTGCACATATACTTGATCGACCTGGGGTCTTACAAAATTTATTTCTAACATTTAATAAGTCGAAAATATCATTGATATTTTTACAAAAAGTTGCTGTCGCAGAAGAATTTTTAAAATCCTTATCTTTTAAATCATTTTCTAAAAAATTCAGAGCACATGATGTACTATTGCTCAAAACTTGCGCAGCTAAAAAAACTTTCATTTTCTCTTTGTGAAAATATACATGTCGTTTTCGAATTTTACATGCACAATGAAGATTTTCATTTCCTTGTTTAATCTGAAGCTTCTTAATGAACTCCCAGTCTATAAACTGTTTTTTTTTATAAATTATCGGACCTTTTGTGCCAAAATAATTTCTTACGAGTTTCAGACAATGACAAGGATCATAAAAAATGTATACTGGTTCTGAACTTACAGGGTGTTCAAAATAGGGCTTGAATGTTTCTTTGTTTTTATAATTTAAATTGGCCCCTAACTTTTCGCAAGCTGTTCGATGACTCTTGTCTCCATCGAAAGTAACACTAACAACATTAATCTTCTTTTCATGCAATTTTACTAGCAGATCTTTTAGGAGAATTGCTTTTTCAGCCCCATTCAATGAGTTGGTTAAATAATGACTTACTGGAGCTTTAAATCCACCATTTATATTAACAAGCATGAACACCAAGGCTTTACTAGCAACCTTATGTTGAGAATCTTTCTCGGTATCTTCCTTAGAATTTTTCTTAGAATCTTCACGAATTTCATTTAATTGTCCACCTAAATCAACCAGACCTTTCCAAGTATGAGTAATTTTGTCCCACTCTTTGTGTTGTTTTATATGCATCTCGTCGAAAGTGACGTTAAAAACAGGTGATCTGCCTTTCTCTTCTTCGCTTTTGACAATATTGGAAATTTTATCAATAATCTCTTCAGAAATACCCGGCTTATAATCCTTGGAGCAGTACCACTTATTTAGCGTTTGCGTGCATGGTAAACAATTTAAAAAACTCTTTCTAACGGCCTCATAAGCAGCTGGCGAATGAAAATGTAAGGTTCGCGCAAAATTTTTAAGATTCGGAGGAAAAGGAGCCGTTGGTTTTCGATTTTTCATACGAATTAACAGTTCTTGAACGTGAGGTGGTAAATCCTACGAGAATAATTAAAAATGATGATATATTACCTTTATTTATTAAAAAAAAAATTGCAATTTTATTTCATATTTGATTGATTTCATATACAATAATATTTATAAATCATAATACAAAAGGTATTAATCAAACGGCATTGAAGTATCAGAATTTAGTGAAAAAAAATAAATTGATTGTCAACTGAAAAAATTAAAACAAATTTACACCTTCCAATACCGTTGACTTATTATGTTAAAAATAGTCAATTATTATAATACTAAAAT